CTGTCCTTTTACTTATTTATTTTAATGCATTTAAATTGTTTATATATGGATTAAAAACACACAACAGAAGGTTTTGGGCCTTGATGCGGTTTTTATAATGAAGAAAGAGTTGATAGTTAGGACGTAGATAATGCTAAGTTTGAACATAACCCATTCACAGATTGCTGGACATAGAAATATGCCACGTCAGACCTGGAATACTGTAAATTTACCACTGAAGCAAAATTTAAGAAGATATTAAATGAAATTGCAGCACTGAAAATCAGCTTTACATAATGTCTCTGTAATTTGATGCTACTAAGAGAAAAATCGTCTTTAGGAGTTTTACCTTGGATGTTCTGCGTGTCCTAATTCTACCAGTACTATTCTTATACCTCATGATGCATTCAACCATCCTTTTTGTTCTGGAAATAATATTAATTAGGATTTAAAATCCCCCATATCTACATTCAAAGTTGGGATGACGGGTCTATTTGAAACCTTGAATACGTACATTCATTTCAAACTTTTGTGCTGTAGCTGGTTATTCTTACTGTGAGTGGATGGCAGGGAATTGGTGGACAGACGAACAACAAACAGCGTAATATTACATTTAGACCTGGGGCACATTATTCCTGTGATTTGCAGCTGTAAGAATTGCATGGTGTGTACATAATGTATGTTTTTGGAGGTAGTTTTGTACTTCTTTCCACGTTATTGCTGCTTGACTTGTTATGAAATCAGTTTTCATAGCAAAGCTGGTCCCACATGGGCAGGCTACTCCATCTACCTTTCTCCTGACGAAACCATTCAAGATCAAGGGCAGCATCACCTTTGGCACTAATGAGCTAGTTTATTTACCAAATTTCCTTGTGGACTGTGAGAGAAAGACGAGCCATGCATAGCAGAGCACATAATCAGCGTGAGCAAAACAGAGCGCCAAAAGCTCCAAGTTGTACGTTTTGTGACGGCAACGCCGCGTAGCTTACCTGAAGTACCTGCGTGTTCAACATGTAAGCCCTTCAGAGAGGCTGCTGAAGGGAACAGACCACGTTATTATAACCTGGAGTCCTACTGCAGTCTAAATGGGACATAATCTTCAAAGGGAAGAAATAAAGACTTCCGGACTGGAGATTAGAACTTTTAAGGCTTTTATTTTAAATTTGCTAGATACCCATTTTGATTTCCACCTTTTTATATTCATCTCATGTCAGGTTTTCAAAAACCCAGATGATTATGTCAATATACCACAACTTGGACCGCAAAGATGTGCAGGTGACTGATGACTTAAACGATAATGTCTTTTGAAATCCAGTAGTATAGCAGCACACATACAGAACAGCATTAAATGCATGAAAATAATCTCAACTCTGAAATATCGTCATCACAATTGCAAACAATGTTAGCCTACACATACTAGTACTATGCGGAATGCCAGCTAGCAGCATTTTTCAGCTATAATAGAGGCCTAGTAATTGGCATTTGGATTTCTGAGGGTTTTCAAGGCGCAACATGAGCCGCAATTAGACCGAATCATCTGTGCCCAAACAGCAGCTGCATTGGTTGTGGGGGGGGAAACTAAATTATTTGATATGTGAAAGGAACAGTCAAAAGTCATGACGCCTTGTGCAAAACAGCTTTGACAAAGTGGACTGTGCACGAGGTGAAACTAACCAATAAATGACATACAGCATGCAGGCTATTTGAGGTTGCAAATACTGCTAATTGGCAATCAACCTAATGTGACACACCTGTGTAGCAACAATGCTGATTTACTAGAGTCAAAATCAAAAATCCTTTTGGCCAACGCATACATTGACTTTTTTGTTGACTAATGTATTATGTCTTAAATTATTAACCTCTTTCTATTGACTGTGTTGTATTAAAAACCCCAAACTATCTTTTCTTTTCATTTCCATCACAAATGTATCCACGGAGGTCCACGGAGGTGCAACACATGTCGGATTAAACGGACGAAGAGCCTCTGGGCGTCGATAGTTTGCAGTGATAATGATGTATGTGTGGCACTGTTCTGTATTTGGTGCACAGCAGAATTCCATTCCTGCTTAAACCCCGTCAGTGATTTGCAGACCTGCTCATCAGAGCCCATGTACACGGCTTTATTTGCTTATTTAGATTGCCTTCCAATCTCTGCATAAACGTGCGAAGCTTTACTGTATGTTGGCTTATCTGTCCAGCCATCCCATCTATTCAAACAGCGTTCCTTTCATTTAGGGCTGTGTGCTGGCTGCTTTTTTTTTTTTTTTTTTTTTTTTTTTTCCTGGGACCTTTTCTGTTATTTTGGGACCAGATGGCGAGGGGCACGGAAGCGCCTCTTTTGTCCAGGCGCCCCAGTGAAAAGAGGCTGTCCTCCCTAATGTAATCAGCGGCACCGGAAGGGTCCATTTTGGACTGTGAAAGAAGACAATCGGGTCTGGACACATCTCGATTACAGAGACGCAGAGTTCATCTCCCGACCCTGCCCCCTTTGACCAAGGCCCTGGCACGGAGGATCCTCATCTTTGATCAGTGGAGGGTGGAGGTGCTGATCCGACCTCACGGGGGCCAAAGGCCACCCCCTCCCTCCGCCCTGTTTACCCTGCACTTGGCTGCTGTTGACACCTCCTTCCGGAAAGAGCCAGGGGGTGGTGGGTTGGTTTGGGCATGGGGGGGTGTGATACCATGACCTGTCTAGACACCGTTACTTGTTACCCTGGTGTTACCCTGGTGTTGCCAAGGAGACCTAATGAACTTTGACCTCAAATATAGTTGGTTAGGAGCCACTCTGGTCATCCAAGGAAGAATCTTTTTCTTTTTTTTTTTTTTTTTTTTTTTTTTTTTTTTTTTTGTTGTAATTTTAGTGTTGGGGGTGGGGAAATGAGGCGGGGGTACGGATGTGACCCACATAATACACAGTCTGCTTTGAGGGACCACGAGCATGAATTTGTTGGCAAAATTTCCTTTTTTGATTTTAATGATCGTGTGACATGATGGTCACACAACGGCAAGAAATATGTGCAAAATAGAGAACAATATAGCTGATGTATTCCTTCGCCTTTCAACTCTGACACAACAATGTAACTTTTATTAGAATTTTTTTTAATTAGAAGTTTGTTTGCTTTAGTTCATCTGATCCCACGATGACACTTTTGGAAGGACGACATTTTTTATAAATTTGATATAATCTAATGCCACGGAAGTCATGCTGTTTGTGGTTCATGTTGGTTTATTGATTTAGATACATTTTTGGACATTTTATTTCTCTTACGCAGTAAGTAATCTTTGATTTTGTTATCAGTTTTATCTTGTTATACAATATACTCAACAGGCAGTTTGGAGGTAAAACAAAGACAATATGTATTTGTTTAACAATGATAAGTAAAACTCGACTTACTGAAACATTTTTATGTTGAGGCAAGACCATTTTCTATCTCGGGCAGACATGCAGTCATTTTGCATCTATTTTATTATTTTTTACCTTTTTTATGAAAATGTGATTTTATATTTCAGTAGATGAAAGTTGTGTTGCTCTTCTCTTATAAACAGAAATTATACATGCATAATTTAATAATAAAGATTTGAGAATATTATACATTGAAGCTCAAGAAAAGTGCTGTACAATATACAATGCAAATCTCAGGCAAAATCTTAAAAAAACAAAGTAGACATAACTTCGATGTACAGTATTGTACAATATACTGCACTAGCCTACTATTGATGTGTAGTATTTTGAATTTAACCATACAATTGTCACATAACAAACAAGTCTAGAATTAATAATTAGGATGAAATTGTTTTCAAATTGTCAGAATAACCTAATTAGCATGTGTATTCTCTCGTACAAATGTTTTGCCGTGCATGCAGTAAGATGTTGGTTTTCGTATTTATCACCTCACACGTCGTCCTAAACCTAGAGTTCCTGAGTTTGGCCTGAAACATCACCACCCAATGTGTGGATTGGCTTTGATGTTGAGGCTGTTCCTCAGGAGTGGCTGTAGCGATTCCGCCATCATGGCCGCCACTATCAGCCCCGCCCTCTCGCCTGCCACTCAGGAACAGTTAAAATGGCAGCATGCAGCAAAATGAGTGAGGGGGAGAAAGAGAGCGACGCCCACTACTGTGAGCTAAGGCACGGTCGACTGAGCTGCAGCTCGCCTCGTATGCCAACTCAAACTGAGATGATTATTTTTGGTGCATTCGGCCGCCTGAGAACAATGTAGAATCTAAAGAAGTCTAGACAGGTAGATTGGGCTGAAATCAGTGAAGAGTTAACCTCTTTTGTCACCGCTTTATCCGAAAATCTGTAACTCGCGATAGTGCTCCACTTCCAGCCACAACTAAACGCCGCCGTATATTCCTCTTTTAAATGACTGAATGTTAAAAAAATGAAATCCAAACATAATTGGCGACACCATGGCTACTGTTCAATTCACAGTACTAATGCAGCCAAGTAGAAAAACATCCATGCTAAATATGCTTTCCTGCATTCAGTGCGACCATTACCACAATATAATGGGAAGTGTTAACATTTTTTGAACTCTTCACCCAGGTCTTTGGCGGGCTGCCATTTTATTCTACAAATGATCGGTTGGGGCCTGGCACCGGGAACGGGCACTCGCTGATTATCACGGGATGTTCTGCTCTGTAGCGCCTAAGATTTAAAAACAAGCTATTTATTCACATACTGTATATGTGTTTATGTTGTAAAATGTCTTAGTTTGGGTTGTCGGCACAATGGCCATAGCATCATTTGTATTCTGCAGTGGTACAGGACAGTATTTCAGTGTAGGAAGAAAGTGCGGTGATCATTGAAACCCTTTGCTCTTAGTCAAACAGCTCAATGCATGTGCTTATTATGTCATTTACTTAATACCAATTAAAGGCTATACGCTACACCAACCCAACGCCGTTTCAATGAGCTAGAAACCCATTTAGAAGGGATCACAGAGCGTAGATGTGCGTATCCCGTCTCGGTAAACTGTCTGAAATTAAGTATTACACCCAATCATTTCTCTTTGCAGGTCTGGCTGCCACTTCATAACGACTCTATTGCAAGGCATCCCACATCCAAACTGCAGTGAGGAGAATTTTAAGGTAAATGTCTAAATCTTCTATTTTTAGGTCTTCCTACTCCCACTGAATGACATTTTATTATTGGCTCTTGGTGTGAATATGTGGTTTTTCTTTTTTTTTCCCTCCTTCCCTCCACAGTGTAGAGAGCTGGTGGTGGACTAGGAGGAAGATGTCATGCTAAGGATGGGTTTTGGTGATGATGTTGCTGCTGTTGATGCAGCATCGAGCTCTCACTTTGTGCCTCTGTCAGTTATGATGCGTAACCACAAAGTGAGTGACAGGCCAATCCCCGGGGAGAGCAGGGGGCCTGAGGTGAGTCAGATGTATCCTTGACCCTGTCTAGCTGTGTCAGCAAGCAACACAAACTCTGTAACAAAGGCCAGAAATGGCATGACTGTACATTGTACATCTTCATTTAGTATATAGAAAGAGAATGTAAGACACACAGCCAACTTGGACTATTTCTGTTGAAGAGATCTGGTTTCCATTGCATAAGCTCCATCATCTTATGAATTATGAAATTACAATGCAGCATCTCGCATTACAGCTGCACCTTTTTATATCATTGCGTGCATTTGTTTTCTCCAGAGTACTGAATGTTTTTATGTCTCAGACATGAACCCCCGCACTGATTTTGGTAGATTTTCAACATTGTTAACTTCAGTGCGTTACAGATACAGTACTAAGCACCCAATGCCACTTTAAGACTTTTAAAAAAAGATGTCGGAGAAAGTGTTTATTCCTGTGCCATTCTGTGGAGTCGGATATTGTTTGTAAAGCTTGTTTACATGAAGGTTTTGTTTTATTGCGTACATATTTTAACTCTAATGTAGCTTATAGTTTAAATGTGAACACGTTCAGAGTTTCAGGGAGCAGGAAAGTAGACGTCGGTACTAAGTTTACTTGAGAATTTGAGAAAACCTTCATTCGGATATTTACATAATACTTATTAAATAATATATTATACATGGCCAAACAGCCAAAGAATCGGTAGTGTTCAACTGCAACTGTAGGCATCCCAATGCTTGAAGGGGATCCAACTTAACAGTGTGTTGTGTGATTAGAGTGAGAAACGTTCCGAAAAATGTCATCCATGCCTCGGCATTGCTTGTTCGAATGAATGGCTAATCGGTGATTAATAAACGTTTCTTCCAATCCAAGTGATGTGGTGAAATTGTGGATTACAACATATCAGTTTTATTTATCCATTACTCATCTTGTTTGGTTTGCCATATTATTCATAATATAAGTGTGATGCGTTTTACACAAACTACAGTCTTATTACTGCTGTTATCGTTATATTTAGTGCTGAAACAATCAGTTGATTCATCTGTTAGTTTATGAACAGAACAGTAACCGTTGTGATAATATATACAATAAAGTCATTTATCAATCAATGCTTTTGTTTAATGTCATAAATGTAATATATTTGGATTTTTGACTGTTGATTGGACAAAAAAGAATCTATTTTGAAAATGTAAACCTCATGCGCTGGTAAATTCTGATGGCCATTTTTTAAAGTTTTTTATTTTTATCATTTCACGTTAATCGACAAACTAATCGGTATTGAGAATAATTGTCAGTTGCCGCTTTTTGCAACTTTTTACATGAAGTGTAAATGTAAAGTTAAAAATGAACGCAATCTGTAGAAATGATAACCGTCTTGTTCAGTGAGGAATATCTGCTTCAATTTGCTAAAAGGACAACACATCCGTATATCATGAAAGTTAGTCAGAAGTGCTTGTTGTACCAGAATTAATAGTGTAACAGAATTAATTTTCCCAGCGCCGTTGTCAATGTTGCATTGAATGCAGTCTGCAGAAAAGGTCAAAGTGTAACTGAAACAATTGTTGCAACCTGTGTCCAATTCCTAAATGTAGCATAAGTAGATTTTATAAACAAATATTCACTTTTTAATGTTCTATTTGTGAAGAAATGTTAGTTTCAACGTTGTGTCCCAAAAATACTCTTTCACTACTCGTCGGTGTCGACCAGAAGTACAGCTGCTTATAAACCACATTATAAACGACTATGTAAAATTAAATGGAATATTTCATGTTTTAATTCAGCTCCTTAAGCACGAAACATCCACTCAAGAAACCAGATATGGTTGCTACATGGGAAAATAAAATCACATACGGGTTTGTTTTTCCTGAACTTTGTGAAGTGAACAAAAAGGATCTTTATTGAAAAGTCTTGCATTTCTTCACAAGGGTCGCTCAAACACGGTGTGTGAAATGAGAGTTGCCTGGGTGTGACTTTTCCAGAAAGCATCCGCTTGCTATTGTCTGCCTAGTCAACTTCTGCAGGCCCCAGTGCCCTGACTTCCATACATGAGAGATCAAGGGTTACCAAGGTGCTTCTGAGAAAGGAGGGCTCAATGTGAGAGGGGACAAACCAGTCCACAAAATACTCATTTCCTTTGCATGTTAGGCGCCCTAGTGGGGATTCAGACGGGGTCGCTGACACAGCCACTGGGGTTGAGTTTTTTTCTTCTCCATCGTTGTTCTTAATGAAAACTGTTGCTTGCCTTTTTCGTCCTCTTGCAACAGCTATCTGCTGCCTGTACAGTAGGTGGCTTGATAATGTGCTGAGTTTGCCCAAAGGAAAGTTTGTTCAGACTCTGGCTGTTTATCCGGTGCCAGACAGAGGCACCTCGTGTAGAAAAGGTAAAAGTAATTCTGTCCACCTCTCATTCTTGCCAGAAAGTTCAGTCACTGAGCCACAGCATTAACTTGTATTCTAACAAGATTAAAATATATTCGTCCTGGGGATTAGCATAGTTAGGTGTCCTTTTGCCTCTTTTTTTTTTCCTGCACTGGTGCGGTGACAGTGGGCTTTGATCTGTGTTGCGAGGCAAGAGTCCTGGCTTGGACCTAGCCATTCGAGTGCCAAGTGTGAAATTGGCCTGATGTCATCCCCATTCTTCACCTTTTACATCTTTCACCACTTTAATTATGTTTCCGCCACAAAGCCTAGGCACCTCTGAGCAGATTCCACTCTGGCCGTAGGAAGCATTTAGAAACTGGGTAAATGACACAGTAGGGGAGGGGGAGGATGGTAGGGGAGGTCATAGCAGGATGGGGCCCTTTTGTGTTTAGAGGTAGACATCGATACTCTCCTGATGTATCCTGTGCTCACTTCCATTTTTACAGCATGAGAACTTTGGGAAATTGTCAGCAATACTCCAGAAAACAACTTTTATTCCAGGTGTTTTTTTGTTTTGTTTTACAACTTCTGCATCCCAGTATTATTTACCCAGATTACCGATGATTTATACTTATAGTGTATTATGTTTTCACAGCAATGCAGGACTTTCTGTTGTGTGAAGCCGTTCGAGGCCCAAACAAGGACCACTTCTGGTCACCTGAATCTCACTTCTGGTGATGGAGACAAATTATTCTCAGATCAAATCTGTTTGTTCCAGGAGAATGTGCCCATGCAGCCTTACGGCTTCAGCTATTGTTCATGCACCGGTGTCCTTATCTGAACTTCAGGGAGCTTCTCTGCCGGTGAATATTTCGATGAAGGTTCCTATTGATGTGCTGAATGAAGGACCAAAACAACAAGGGGATGTGTGCATGTGAGGAGGAACAGAAATGAATGAAGTGCATTGGGACGTGTGCGTGCCAGGCAAGAATAAAAAAAACAAAACAAAACCAAGTGATAGTAAGTTGTGGGTGTGTGAGGGAGGGAGAGTATGACTTGGTGAGTGAGAAAGCTGTGTGGAGAATGAGTTACTGAGGGGGGGGGGGGGGAACCAGCCACCTGCAGCCATGACAGGCTTTGACCTTCATTGCTCTCTCCCCTCTCTCTCCCTCCCTCCCCTCTCTCTCTCTGTCCTTTCGACTCCCATTTCTGCCTTGTGATTGAAGCACAGGCTCTTTTCAGAGGCGGCGGGGAAGACTGACCATCGTGACGACAGTGCTGGGAGCAGCCCCATCCGCTCTAATGCTAGTCACTGGCCGTTGGACATGGCGTCCAAAGACTAGCGGTGCGAGTATGGAAATGCAGATAAGGCATTGTTGAGGAAACATGCCTGGGAATTGTTTAAGGCTTTCTCCCTTGCATAATGTTCGGATGCCTTCGCAAATGTTTTAATCTCAAAACACCATGAATTTGATCCTCCATGAATGTGTTCCAGAGCCGCCCATAGGTTGAGTGGGTGTTTGCATGGAAAGGATTGTCATGCTATGCTATTGAATAATGTTTGTGATTACGCTTGTGAATATTTGGCAACGTTTCCATATATTTCTCTTTTCTAAACTATTTTAGCAAGTAATGCATGATTTTAATGCCTTCAGAAGCTCAGCATTGATTGAAGGTCACACTTAATGCTTTAGCCAAGCCTCTGTTACATTGTTTGTGCTTTTTAATAGAAATATATGAACTATTTTCTTCACATAAAGATGCTAGAGAGACTTGTTTGTGTATAATATTCAAGGTTTATTTACTCTTCTTTTGCAGTTTTCAGGAGGCAGTTAATTACACAATTAATACATGATACAAATTATGTACATTTATACCAAAGAATACTTCCAACATAAAATAAAAAATAGCATTGTATTGTACAACTCTGTGTTGTAATTTTATTTAAACATGTTCATATATAGATAGATATCCGCTGATGAGTAAATTCATATTGTCGTACCAGCAGTATTCATAAAGGCATTAAACTTGAATAGTCTGCATTTGAAGTAATACTGCTTCTCTGATTCGGCACAGTTCTGTTTCATACAAAGTTCACACTTGAACTTTAAGGCAAAGTGTGTTTCTGTTTGGTGGATTTTAATTCACACACACTTTGAACAAAAACACGTTGAAAGGCAAAAAGTCCACAATTTGGTATATGGATACAGTCTAAAACTTAGCTCGATCATACTTCCGTCGATAAAGACCAAAGTTTATAAACACAGTTATTTGCCCAAGTACAACAAATTGCAGCTTTCATGCAAAGGCCCCATAAACTATTTTCATTCACAAAAAAAGGAAACAAAAAGAAGTTATTGCAAGATAAACAAGCAGTGTAAACACCTCAGATATCTACTCTAAAGCAACACTGGTCATTGGATAGATTTTTTTTCTCAATATAATCTATATAAATACACATATGAAGTCCTTTCAACAACGATAAGAGATTTCCAAACATTTGTAGTACAGTCACTGACGGATTTGCCTTCTTTTATGATAAATGGATATGTAATAAAACTGTATATAGAGAAAGATTTAACAAGAACATCCAATAACCTGCTTTTATAGTCTACTCGGAGTGGTTGTCATTGTCTTTATGCTACAGAGTTGGTCTGTGACTTTACAGGCAGCATTAGAGCCTCAAATTCAGTTGGCTACAAACAAAAAAGATTTATATTGCTAGTTAAAAACTATAATAGCTGCACTGATGCATTGGCATAACGAAGGGAATACGCACACATTTGTTTTAAAGGCTAGAAGACGACCACGTGTAAGCAAGGCGTAACTTAGCATTTTAGTTAAGTGGCGTGTTAGAAAAAAAATCGTCACTTATGATAAACTGTTCATTTTTTCTGTTTAAAAAAACGTATCAAAATTCATTGTCTGCCCAATTAGGTCTGCAACTGCCTCTCAGAAAAAACACAACTTCCCCCTTGTCCGCTCCGACACTACAACACAACCAAGGAAACCAACAAGCGTGGAAATAAAAACTCGTGTTAGCATTTATTTAAATTCACAGTAGCCTGGATGCAGCAGAAAAATATTCTTTGGACTTCAGTTTGTTCACTTCACTGACGGATCGAAACGTCAAGTGCCAGTTAGTTCAATGTAAAACGATGACAATCATGGATAGCAGTAGGGCCTATATAGAAAAATGACGTGTGTAAGCATTTGTGTACCTCCTGGGGGGGGGGGGGGGAGACGACAAACAATGAAAACATACCTTTATACAACATCTTTTATAGACGTGATATTGCAGAAATATCTTATTTTTTCAAACAATTTATGCTGGTATACTCTACACTGGCCCTTTATTCGATGAAATTATTGCATTGTAGGCTTGACAAAACCTCCCATAGAACGAAAATCCACTATAATATTCCTATAGGGAACTATAGAGACGGTATGGTGTCATTAACTATGCATGTGGGGACTTTAGTAGTCCAATGACCTTGTTTTTTTTTTTTTTTAATTTCCTGTATAGTGGGTCAGCATTATAGTGATATTGATAGAACTTTGTGGTATTAAATATTCCTGTAGGTAGAGTTTTGCGGTGATAGCTCTATAAAAATCTATCATAGGATTACTATAGGTTCTTTTTCGTCAGGAGGCTGCTGTGACTTCTCTGGAAATCAATCGCTGTCTGATTTTTCGTCCTTCGACGAGACGGTGGCGTGATTGTACAGTCCCTCTGCCATCAGGTGCAAGGCCAGAGCGTTTTTAGCGCCGGTGGACTTCTTGATTTTCGCCCTCTTGTTCTGGAACCAGATCTTGATCTGGGACTCGTTCAGGCCCAGCTCCTGCGCCAGGTTCTGCCGCCTCTGCTCGGTCAGATACCGGTTGGTCTGAAACTCCGTTTTTAGTCTTTGCAGCTGCTCTGCTGTGAAGGCCGTCCGTGGTCGCTTGTCCTCTTTGCTGCTGGTCGTTTTCTTCTTTGGTTTGCGAGATCTTGGCCCTGCAGAGTGGGATATATGGGGAGGGGGGGTCACAAACAGACGTATGTTGGTTTGTCAGTATTAAAACATGGTCATTATTATGGGCGATAAATGAAAACATGGGCGATAATCAGGCAAACAGCTTAACAAGAACTTTAGAAATTAATAAAATATAAATTATTAGGTTTTCTCATTAAATTAATCAAGCCACGTATAACTAGAATACAATGTTACTGCTTTACATTTAGGATATAGCCTGCACATTAATATGAAACGGGTGCGTCCATGAAGTCTATTTATTAAAACGATGTAGATTTTTAATTCCCCCCAAATCAAGAACGTCTCTTCAGACATCTGTTGTCATTCGGTGACCGCCTGTAGAAGTTTTTTTTTGTGTATGTAAACCAAGTCACGAAATACGTTTTGATTCCCTGAAGCAAATTTTTGGCAAACGTGTTAAAAAACGAGGACTGATTGTAAAAATGTTGACACGTCCGCTGAAGAAAACAACCAAGAAGCCAAACCTCCCCTCCCTCCCTGTTTCTATTCCTCGTCCTCGCTTACACACACATATACGTGTAGCCTACACACACACACACACACTGACACTGTCTGTAGTAATAAGGAATTATGAGCCAATAGGAAAACACACTGGGCAAAAACATCACTGGCGCATCTCAGCTACTGTTTTGCTACAGTTCAATGCAGCTACTTTGCATTTTTTGTTTTCGTGGACCACTTGAAAAGCTCCTCAATGGGCAAACGTGAATGGAATTTGAGCAGCACACATTATCAACACGCTCATTTTCCATCTGGATAGAGAGGCCTATTCGGTGGAGCTTTGCACTTAGTGTTTGGTTCCCTCCTCCAAACAGTGTGGAAAACATTAATGAAACGACATGATGCAGGCCGAACCTTTTATACTGATGAATCAGCCACACAGCGTGTTTGTGTGTTTGTGTGTGTGTTTCAAGCAGCCCATATAAAACTGTGCAGCTCTACAACTCGTAGTAGTCGCCTACGCCACACCATACAGCGTTACATAATGCATGAGAACAAGTTGTACTCTACTTTTCAACGATGAATGCACTGGATGTTAACTTTGCTACAGGTTGACAAGTCGTAGCGTGGGTTTCCTCGTAAACACACGTTAGAAATAAACTCACTATCCAGCATATTAGCCGTGGGAGCGTCCATTGTGAAAACAGATGCATATTTAATTCATCCCGATCACAATAACGCGTCTAAGGTGCCAAACAGCTCCACTGAGAGCACCAGATATTATTTTGCAGACCTGCAGATTCTCTGGAAGACACTCAAGCCTGTCAGCGCTAATGTTTAGTATATGTAGGAACCCAGTATTATCATATTCATAACCCGAGGAAATATACGAGACGACTGCCTGAATGGGAAGAAAAAAATATGTGCGTAATAGCTCAAAAAAGCGACATTTTTTTCTTGTTTAGATGTATGTTGGTGAGTAGTTTAAGTGAAAAAGATTACAATTAAGTTGATTATTTAAAACAATTTATTTTCTTTCTCTTTTGCATTTAAAATAGGCCCTCTCACTGAAAAGCCCAATTTTTGTTACGTGTTTATGTGATATATTTTCCACATTGTACAAGGACGTGTTTTTCCTATAGTCTACAACGGCATTTGTTGTTTTTTTCACATTAAATTATGTCTACAAATTCTAAATAGATTTGCGTTCAGTAAATTCTCAGCTTGCGCTGCTCGGCACGGTTCGCTACTCTACTCGGGAGAAGTCGGTCAAGGCATCCGGGGTCAGTGTTACGGGGTATTTCAGGTTACCGAGAAGACGGTAGAGTAAAAACGCATGCACCAACCTGAAGAAGGCCTGTCCGAGTATCTGGTGCAGTAGACCCAGGCTGGCCACAGCATGGACTTGGACGGTGGTGGGTTTGAGCTGGCTTGGGAACTGTCTGAGTCTGAGCTTAGGCACTGGTCTTCTCTCTCCCCGCGGGGTTTCAGGGGCTCCTCAGCGGCTATAGCTGGCTTCTTGCTCACGGTGACCGTGTGCGGAGTGGAGGTCCCCTCCGCCGGCACCGTGTTCCCCACCGGCTCGGTCTGAGGGGCGTCGGGGCTGTCGTGGCTCTCCCGTGACGCCAAACCGCTCTCCTCGCGGGTGGCACCCCCGTCCTTTTTCCGTCCGAAATCCGGCCGCAGGATGTTGTCGATGAAGAAATTGGTGACCCGATGAGGGATCTGCA